TTGATGGTTTTGTCGAATTTATCGTATTTTGACGAACTTTTCAGAAAATAAAGTTTTTAAATAACCGGACGTTTTAATAAGTTAAACCAACGGTTTTCTAAAGTTAAGTAAAGATTTTCACGGTAGCACCCCAAATCAGTTTCGCAAAGTAGAAATGTATTATTTTTCAAAGACTTTGCGATTAAATGCGCTACTCTGATTTACTAGTAAGGTGGGGTGTTACACTTTACATGGTTATTATACATAAGGGTAAAGGACTATAGTGTAATTAAAAAGAGACGAGGCCAATTTTGCACGTGCATCGGGAATGGAGCATTCAGATTTTGCACGTGCATCGGGAAACCAATTTTGCGGCCGACCACATGACGGCAATAGCGGCCACTACCACGTTAGGATTTCAAAGGATATTGTCACCTCCCCCAGGTTTGGGTGGATGGCTTGATCCCCGACCTTCGAGTGGTGGCTCACCCACGTCGAGTTTTAGTTTCATAAATTCCGGGCCTCTGGCCTCTATCATTGTACCAAAAAAAAAAAAAAAGAGACGAGGGCCTTGTTGGTTTAATATCAGCCAATCACTTGAGCAATTGTTTTCTTGTCGTAGCGAGCACAAACTGTGTTGGGTAGGGGGTAGGGCAGCATCTTTTGGCAGTTTGGCTATTATGAGATTTGTTTACTTATCAATTATCATATGTCAACAAAAATTCAGCATTTAACAATACACAAATACTATTATGGTCACCTGAAATATATTCTAAAAACAAAACAATGTGTACGTCTTCTATAACACATAGCTTAATTATATCTAGTAACCAAACAAACAATGTATATGTTTGTACAAGGAAAAGCATTGAGATTTAATAAAAAAATTTCAGGATAATAGTTATATATGTTTGTACTATATTTAGAAGACAAATAATTTTGTATATCCATCCATTAAAAATGGTCGTATAGACTCACATTGTGATTTATATTAATTTTGACTTTCAACCATTCATTAATTTTCTGGTTATACTATGCAATTTGAAATCTGTTTATCTCACCACGTAAAACTCGTTATTAAACAAAAGTACCACCATACCACCACTTCACGTGTAAAAAGAACAAGTCGAGCCGAGGTCGTTTAGTTTTACCTTAAAAACACATACTTTGATAATGCAGTATACTTTTTTCAATTTGTGCGTGTCATCTTTGCGTGGGGCCAAATTGGTCGAACCAAACCGGTCAAACCCGATCCAAATTTGAAAACAATGTCTGAGCCACTGAATTGACCACCTCTCTCAACCCCACGGGTTGATCAATAAATGTGAGTATTAAATATTTCTCATTAAGTGGCTAAAAAGGCACACACACGCACACACCATATATATACACACACAAACATATATCAAAACACTATTGGATTTGGATCAGATATAATTTTCACGTCACAAAGTCTTCAATAAAGAACACTTGCAAAACTTTTTAATTACTAAATATACTAATATCAGAAGAGCTGTTTGTAAATGAATATTGAATACAGCTAATACATAGCTTTCTATTTATAGTTTTCTACTACGTGTTTGTGTGTGTGTGTGTGTGTGTGTGTGTGTGTGTTGTGGTGTGTATCTGCTAATAACTTGACTGTCTTTTTTATTGATCCATTAAATTTTACGTGTCTTGTTTTCTCCTCAAATTTTACCCACGAATTCCCCACGCCTTTCTTTTTCTTTATAATCAAGCTTAAAAAACAGACATACACTAAGCCCTAATTTGCTATAATCACTAATATTGACAATAATAAAATCTTTTTATGTTTGCTTTTCTTTTATATTCTTACTATCATTATTGTTATTATTATTATTATTTCCTATACAAATATAGCAATATATATAAATACACATCAACATCTCCACATCATCCTAACATGAGTCAACCAGACCCCAATCAGAAACCTCCTCCACCATCTGCTCCGCCGCCCCCGCCGCCACCTCCGCCTCCGCCTCCGACACCACCTCCGCCGCGACCGTCAGCTACCGTTGAGAACCCACCAAGGGATCAATCGCTACACGTCCAACCAACTATAGCAACAGACTCACTACCGTCCCCAAAAAAGGTGAAGAAGACCTCCGCCGCCGCCATGGGCTCCAACTCCGCCGTCGGCGGCCGACCTGCCGGCGGAAAGCACCCGACATATCGCGGCATCAGGAGCCGCAGCGGGAAATGGGTGTCCGAAATCCGGGAGCCGAAGAAGACCACCCGCATATGGCTGGGTACCTATCCCTCGCCGGAGATGGCCGCCGCCGCCTACGACGTGGCGGCGCTGGCCCTCAAGGGCGGCGACGCGGCTGTCCTTAACTTTCCCGACCGCGTCGGGACGTACCCGGTCCCGGCGTCCCCTTCGCCGCCGGATATCCGCAGGGTGGCGGCGGAGGCGGCGGAGATGATGAAGGCGGAGGCGGGAGGGCCGCCGGAATCCAGAGTTTCCGGTGAGGACACTTTGGCCGGCGGGCAGGAGTTTGTGGATATGGAGGCGCTGTTTGATATGCCTAATTTGTTAAAGGATATGGCGGAGGGGATGATGGTCAGCCCGCCAAGGATGGCGGCGGAGCCGTCAGACGATTCGCCGGAGAACTCCAATGCCGATAGCCTCTGGAGCTACTTTTAACTAGTTTGTTTTTCGTTACATATGAATCGATCAAGAAACAGAAACTGAAATTCATCAATTTTAGTTTTCTCCTTTAAAA